GACACCGGAATTCGTAATTCGCGCTGACGACACAACAATACTGCTCAGCTGCTAGTGAAATACCAATTGAATTCCAGGTTACGAAACTGTTGTTCAACACTGCAACACTGTAATGTCTAGGGAATGCTGAGTGGAGTCTATCTCAACCGGCTCAATCTGGATATGTACCAACAGGCTGTAATATTTGTATATTACGAATTCTGCACGTATTTGTATGTGACAGAGATAAGGAGCGCTCACTACATATCGTCTCAATACGGGATATAGTTTTAAACACTCGGATTATGTAACGCGTCACTGCTGTGTGGTTTCTTGTTTTTCACAAGACACAGACGGATGATACGACTACCAGTTTGAAGAATCCGTACACACCGCTTGCCACCTATATGAATCGGCTGCTTGTCCAATTAACCAGTCCGTTCACACATATTTATATTTGGGTTTTAAGTAACGAAACCCAAACGGTAGTTCCTTTGTTTTATTATAAAAGGTTGTATATATAATTCCTGAGTGTATATCAACCGTAAGTCTCACTGTCTAGGAGTGAATGAGAAAGGGACGGCGTTTATGTATGATAAACGTTTGGTCACGTCCTTTCGATATGAGTTGAGGTGAGCTACTGAAGCTTAGGGGCATCGCAGTGCGTGCTTACAGAAATGCTGAGCTATGGGTCTCGCCCTCTTGGGTAAGTTGCCCGCTCACGTGTCAATCTCATGTCTTACTCATAGACAGTGGAAAGTTACAGGGTGGTGAATCTGAATATAATATCAGATGTATTGACCCATTTATACAATACGTTCTGTTGATGAGACAGGGGCCTATTACATTCACTCGTGGAGCAGCCCCCCTCCGCTCATCCGATGGTAACTCCATAGTTAAAGATGATGAAGGCCTCCTTCAGTGCTGGAAAGAGCACTACCAGGGATTGTTTGATCATTTACGCGCCTGAAATCTATGACAGGGCGCCATCCACCATCCTTTTTCGGGACAACAGATGTAGATGTCCTGACTAACCAGCAAGTCCCTCAGCATCCAGAGCTGACCCACCTCAGTAGCTACTGCCATCAAACAGATGAAAAATAACAAAAGCCTCAGGGCCTGATGGAATCCCAGCCGAGGTGTATAAAGCAGGAGGACCTCTGCTTACTAGCCGTCTCCACTCTCTCCTGGAGAATATGTGGGAAAACGAGGAAATCTCCCAAGCTCTTAAAGATGCCTCCATCGTCAATATTTATAAGAACAAGGGAGACCAGTCAGACTGTGGAAACTACGGCGGAATCTCGCTGCTGTCCGTAGCTAGCAAGATTATCGCTCGAATTCTGCTAAACAGACTTCTTCCTGAGGTGGAAAACTTCGTCCCAGAATCTCAATGTGGCTCTAGACCATCACGTGGCACCACGGACATGATCTTTGCTGCCCGTCATATACAGGAAAAGTGCAGAGAACAGCTTTCATCGACCTAACCATGGCCTTCGACTTACCAAATCCATATATATGGATCCTCGTGTTTCGAAGCCAGATTTGGTATAACGTTACTCTGACCACCTACGTGATACGGGTAGTCTCCATTAAAGGTTCACGGCGCCATAAGCTCGTTGAACAGGCTTTGTGTGAAATATAACAGTCTAGAACTGCTTTTAGTATCCTGGTGGTCCAGCTGTTAGCGTTCCCCGGTCACAGTCATGGACTCGTGGGCCGTGGGTTCGAATCCTGGAGGGTTGAGGTGTTGATTGTATGTAGAAGTCCGCGTGTTTATTGGGCTAATGAAATATATATATATATATATATATATATATATATATATATATACCAAATTTCTTATATACTTCTTCGCCTACACTTTCACCTATAAATATTTATCTATATTACTCTATTCAAGAAAAATACGAAACTTCTCATCGAACCCAAATCCCATTACGACACTGAGGAAATATCACCCGGCACTTAGGAACACATTTAGTGAAAGAATCGTGGAAATAAATCCATTTATGAGGATTTGGTCGACGCTTAACTAATCACAGGGAACGAGGAGGAGGAGGAGGTGGTGGTGGTGTATATTGTGTTTTGCCTTTGCGCGTATACCGTGAGAGGAATAATTAAGAACGCGCGTGTGTGTGAAAAATTATACTGGAAGAACAATGCAAATAGACACACGTACAAGAAGGAGAAAAAGAGATAAAATAACGGCCCACGCGATACAAAGACAAGAGAGAGAGAGAAAGAGAGAAATAAAAGATCATACATAATAAAGAAGAATAAACAACAGACACAAACAACAAAGAAGAAATGAAGAGATAAATAAGAGGTAAGAAGACATAATGATATAACGGTGAAGGGTAACTCAGTCCAGGAGACTCGACCTTCACAATCCCGCCCTGACAGTGAGCCATTGTCAACAAACCCGGCCAGGGCAGCCACACAACCCTCCAGTCCTGCTTTGACCTGGACGTCTTCCCACCCTGTGATTCCTGCTTTCATTCCAGATCATTCCGGTGAAGGTTCAGTGTCGTCAACGAGCCATTGAATTTCTGTCCAATGGAGTCCGATCATGCATTCAGGTTCTCAAGAGCGTCCGTAGGTCGCGGTAGTCGTCATCCCTCGATACAGCTGTTTAATTTCTCCCTCTTGGTCTCGTTGACTGATACGCTGCACAAGACAGCTGCAGCCGGGGAAGGTTTTTTTGTTATTCACATTTAATACTTTTAATTTTTCTTTCTCTTTGGAAAGATACGCTTGGTGCGTTTCTTTACTTCCGACGCAAATTCAACTCTTTCCACACAGCAAGATCACAGAGAACTTGGGAAAAAAAAGTATGAATCTTATTTCACGGGCGTGGGTCCTCTCCAAGCTCTTGGAGGCTTTGAGATCGTCGGCATCGATCCTCCAATTATTGAGAGCCTCAGTCAGCGCCGCCCCACGGCCTCCAGGCTCAAAGCCCTAAAGCCCTGGGGTTCTGTGTTGCCAGTCCCTCCATGCCGTGGGGCGGATTTGCCTCGCAGCCTCAACTCACCACCCGTCTGGGTCAGCATCTGCCACCAAGCTAAACTCACCAGCTGGGCTAGAGTGCATTTCCTCCTCCCCACAATAGTAGTAATCACGTTGTTTATTGGGTGTTTGAGTACTTTCGTCACAGAGGTACCTGAGTACTCGGTACTCGGCCTGCTTGAGAACCAGAGGTATTTATGGTGTTGGTTAGGATAAGTTAGGTCACAGGACAAATATCCACGCAGCTAGTGTCATATGCTGTATGGCATTGTTGTGTTACAGGCACTTTCGTCAGGGCGGTGCCCGTGTATCGTGACCTCATTAAGGGTACCTCCTCTACCTATTTGCGGTGTCGGTTCAGTAGGGGCAGCAGTGCCACCTCTCAGTGTCATAATATCCATACCATGCGTTTATTCCGGGAACTCCTTCGTCAGGTTGGTACTTGCGTCTCGGGTTGCAGGTCGAGGTGGGGGCAGCACCTCCATGAAAGGAGTAATCTTGGGTCTTTGAGAGAAGTCAGTGGCCACCTCCTCTAGCGGTAGCATTCGCATCGCGTGCTGTATTGTGGCCACCTTCGTCAGGCTGGTGTTGATGACATTATCTGGTGAGTTCGTGAGGTTGTCCAACCATAGACTAATTCTCTTCACCTTCCAGTGCCTGTTCGTCTTGAAAGTAAATCGCAGACCCCACCAGCATTACGCTTTTCTTCGTTTGTCCATCCAATTCTTTTTACTATTGCTGCTGATGCTCCTTTGGATTGTGAGTAAAGATTAAAATATTTTGTTTATAGACTTACGTAATCACCGTTTGCACTACACATTTACGGAGGTGAGAATGACGTATTTTATATTGATGGCTAATATGGATGTCTTACTATAATATTTCAATCTACTTAGAGAATATATCTATTTTCTTTAAAACTTAATTTGTCATCCACTCACTTTTAGCCTCGTTCCTCCTATGTCCTATAACCTCTTCCCCAGACTCTAACTTTACTTCTTTGTAATTACTAAATTGTTGTCCTGGTTCTTGTTCAACAAAGTCACCCTCTAGCAATACTGAAAATCTAATTTCGGTTTCACATTCATAGTCCATCCCCTGCCCCTGTTTTGAGCTTCCTTAAATCCCATTTGATTCATCCATTGCTTTTCTTTTAAAGTTTTTTGAGGTTTTAGTCTCACTAAATTCATTACTGGGATGTGATCTGACCAACAATCTGCCCTTGGATAGGTCTTGAATCGGGTTATTGAATTTCTGAATATTTTTTTTTTAATTAAAATGTAATCTATTGCATTTGAATCCAAACGAAGTTATTTACATTGTCCTGGGGTGAGATCCATGTACAGAGATGCCTAGGATGTTGTTTAAACAATGGACAGTATTTGCAATAAATTATTATCACCTTATTTTCCTTACAAAAGTCAATTAATATTTCTTTTCTTTCATTTCTATTACCCAACCCATGTGGTTCTACTTCTGGTGATTCTTTCGCTTCCTAACTTTTGCGTTAAAATTACCCATTATAATCAGACATTCATTAAACATCACAGTGTCTTTTGCTTTCTATAAATCTTCACGAAATTCTTCTAAGTCTTCATCTTCAATATCATTTGTTGGTACATAAACCTTTATTATAACCAAGTTTATGAGTTTACCATTAAACTTGACTTATAATAGTGACTCATAAGATTTATTACAATTAAATGATGAACAGTGAAGTGAACATCAAGAGAACTCCCGTGTTTTACGTCTCCCCTGAGAGATATTTAGAGGTTTATTTCTCAAGGGTCAGAGATATATCATTCAAAAGGTGAGCACGAGTAACCCATTTATCCAGTGAATGAATCAATTTGCTTAAACGACAGGAGATGGTCCGTAGGAGAGGAGAGGGAGGTGATAATGTTGTTAGTATTATCGGGAGGTGCTGAAAAGTCAGTAAACAAACAGTAGGCAATTATAGTCTAGGAATGGATTCTAAAAGCTAACAGGTACACCAACAACAGAACCAAACTCACACTCTTGTTGCCCAAGTTGTGCACCAGACAGTGCAGGTAGGCAGCATTACTGGTAAGGCTGGACACGTTACGTGGGGCCGCCTCGTCAAACACTGGGTGTAGAGGCATGGTAAGGGGCGACCCTCCGGTCGACCCTGAACTGAGGTCCAGCAGGGGCTTGATGGGCTCTACAGGGCTGCTGCTGCTGCCACTCAAGGTCATCCCTAGCTGTGTGCTGCCGCCCTTCATGGTGCTGCTACCGCTGTGGGTGTGGTGGCCGCCGCTGCTGCCTCCGCCGCCACCTCCACTGCTACCGCTGGTGTTGCTGCCGCTGCTCCTCCCTGCTCGCCGACCTGACTGATGCTGTTGATGTTGTTGATGTTGTTGTTGTGGCGGCGGGTGCAGCGAGGAGTGCGGCGACTGTAGTGACGACGGCGCCATGACCACCGCACCTGAGGAACACCACGACACAGGTTAATTAATGGTGACACATAGTGAAGAATATGTTTAGTGGATGGTGATACATAGTGAAGAATATGTTTAGAATATGTTTAGTGGGTGGTGATACATAGTGAAGAATATGTTTAGTGGATGGTGACACATAGTGAAGAATATGTGTCAAGGCAAAAAAAAATATACACTACAACACTGTTCTAGCCTTTTAACAGTTGATTCCGTCTGGGTTGATGAGGCTGGAACACGTATATTATATAGGGTTGTAGTAGCGAAACCCAATTGTCTTTTATCTATTTATTGAGGAACTATCTAGGATATAGTTCCAAGTGTATATCACCGTAACTTAATCACTGTAGCTATGAGTGTTAAGATGAGGACGGAGGCTCTGTTAAAGAGCTCTGCTAAGTAAGTCCTGTCGATGAGCGGTGAGTGATAATGAGTAGGGACCCATCGAGGGAGAACGGAAATATGTCCAACGTCCTCCCTCGAGGGTAGACGGAACCATCCACGATGGCTCTCAATAACGTCTTCTCTACTGCCCGCATTAGGTGGCCGGAGAGCCGGCTACTTAGTGCCTTAGCTCAGCACTAAGTGACGCGACTTCCCGTGGGCACACCTTAACACATGCTCTGAACATGCTATCTCATAGCTAGTGGGAAGTTACAGAGGGTGATAGGGTATATAAATCAAATGTAATTAACCCATTTATATAATACTTCTGCCTATAAGACAGGGGCTTTTACAGAAGACAAGACAGCTTACCCCCTTATTGTTTACTTACCATTACTATTGAATTATTGTTTCTTGTTTACCAGAAACACACAAAATAAACAATAAGTTTAGTAATATTGTGAGAAAATTTAAATTACGCTTCTCTCAGTAATATACCTGACATCATCTGTTCCATGTACATGTATTTAAACTATAAATTCATTATACAAACATATATAAACTATCATACAACTCATGAAACACATATAAACTACACATTACTCACACGAACACACACATGAACTACATATTAATCATATTAACACCAATAAAACTATACAATACTCATATAAACACATACAAACTCCACGTTAGTCATAATTAACCATGATGGGTGGAAACTCGTGGTTTATATAATATAAATTTCCACAGAGTTACAAATTCTCACTAATGTCTCATTTGTTTATATAACTCGAGGGATTTACGAGTTTGTGTATGTTTGCTGAGCTAACATTGGCCGAACAGGAGAGTGCCAGAATACTGTATATATATATATATATATATATATATATATATATATATATATATATATATATATATATATATATATATATATATATATATATATATATATATATATATATATATATATATATATATTTATTTATTTATTATTTTTTTTTTTTAGGAATATTACCTATGCAGACCTTAAGCTAAAATGCTGGTCCACCCACTGCTGGGATAAAACACCAGCATCTTATTGGTTAAATGCACACTCAGAAACCATATTCTCTAGCCCACTTGGGTCGGTGCTGGAGGTTAGTACAGTGTTCTCTCTGGACGGGGGACCACTCTAACTATCACGACGCAACACACGCACGAACACACATAGCCATAGTACGGCTGTATAGATGATATTATGTATAAATAATGTATATGGCATTTTATACTCTGCATTATAGGTTGTAGTTACGAAAGTATGAATGGAAATAAACACTTCGAAACCACCGAGTGAATCCACACAAGTTTACAGCGCTTGTGGCCAGACCACGATGATTCCACCACACCCCATCTATATCTCTTATTTCCCATCATTTGCGTAACTATATGAAAAATCTTGTTTAATTTAACTACATATTTCTAAAACCTTAAATTACATGTGGATCAGTCACTCCTCATTTGACACACTTATAGTGTAATACTTTGGCCATCCCACCTGGGCACATGCAGGCCCACGGTAACTCTCACGGGGCAACAATCTGCATTTGTTCAGAAGAGTTAAATACATGTTATAATATACATACATATATATATATATATATATATATATATATATATATATATATATATATATATATATATATATATATATATATATATATATATATATACACATTCCCTCACCCTAGCAAACTAGATAGCATAGCATAACCAAACAGCCTCGCAAGGACCAATAGGTCTGTATATAATGCGTGTGCACGCGCTAAAATGACCTAGTATATTTTACTAATGTCTCATTGTCCATGGGTTTTCTTACAGTTTGGCTGTGAGTTTTCTATTTTGTCTACCTGCCAGTTCAACAGGACTGCTAACCATCCTCCCAGCAACTCATATGCCATCCCAGACCCACAGCCTATATGTATAGTGCAAGACCGCAGTCCAATACATACAAGTCAGGCAGTCAAGCGTTGGTTTGAGGCGCACCCGCAGATTATTCTATTGGACTGGCCCCCTAAAGGAGCCGATTGTAATCCAATAGAAAATCTATGGGCGCATATGGTTGTTGAATGGGATGTTGAGGAGAAAACGAGTGAGGCAGTGAGGAGACACGCACATAATGTGTGGGAGGGAATAAGGAGGAGGCCGAACATCTGTAGCAATTTGGTAGATCCCATACCCACCAGATTGCATGAAGTTATAGCAGCAGATGGAGGTTGGACACGGTATTAACCTGTGGTCAAGACTTAAATCTCCGCCCACGACGGTGCCTTATAAGGGGTGGCGGGGGAGTTAGCTCTGTTGTAACCTCGTTGGGGCCACATAGACTTCGTTTGTTAACTCTCGGGAACTTGTCCAGGTATTTTACTATGTGGTTTTACGTCACTTCGCATAAATATGCTTACAAAATCTATGCATTAATATGCATAACTCTTGGGAATCTGTCCAGACATTAAATATATGTTATATACTACAATAATCACATAAATATGTTTACAATGTTTATGCATAATATATGTGAAAAATATTTTTGGGGTTTGAATTAACCAATAGTCATGCCTACAAAACAATCATGATGCTCTAAGTGCATGTATGTGTTAAATAACGAGTAACTGATCCACATTATTTTGGTAAATAAAGAAATGAAAAGCAAGCACTTAGCCATATGGATATAGTTACACGGAAGAAGGGAAATAAGGATGAACCATGGTTTTGATGGAAACAATGTGCTCTGGGACGATGCTCACAATGACGAATGGGAGAAACCTCTTTATAAAACATCTTACCTACTAAGGATGAAGCTTAATGTTACAGAACACACACACACACACACACACACACACACACACACACAAACACACAGTGTAACTTTGTGTGACGCGTTGTCTGACTTGGGGTGGCTTTGAGCGAACCATACACTTGATATTACAATTTATGTATCCTTCCTGTCCATGATTTACAACAATAACTGTAGGGTAAAAGTTACAATATTATACTAATAACACTGTCATGTAATAATACTATGACTAGTTACTAAGATACAGAGCACGATGAACATAACATGATACTGATAGTGAAGCCTGGAAGGTTCATAACATAACTTGTGTGTTCGTGTGTATGTTGCCCCGTGAGAGTTACCGTGGGCCTCCATGTGCCGAGGTAGGATGGTCAAAGTATTACACTATAAGTGTGTCAAATGAGGAGTGACTGATCCACATGTAGTTTAAGGTTTTTGAAATATGTAGTGGGGGAAGAGGAGGGGAGTGTGGGGAAAGACGACCTCCTTGCCACTCTGTTAAGGCAGCTGGGGCAGTTGAGAAGTGAGGTTGACACTCTAAAGGGGGAAAATGAAGCCCTCAGGACGGAACTCCTTCAGGTGTCCTTCGCAGGTGTCCTGCCTAGCAGGACACCTGCGAAGGAGGAGCAGGCGTGGAGAGTGGTTGTCTCCAAGGGGACTAGGGTCAGGCTCAGGAAAGCTGACCAGGGTGTGGAGTGTAGTAACCCTTACCAGGTGCTGCAGGAAGCTGGCGAGGAAGAGAAGAGGCAGGACGGTATGGATCAAGGAGAGGAAAGGGCAGTTGTACAAACCCTGCCCACAGGTAAGGTCGTGGTAGTCGGTGACAGCCAGGTGAGGTTTATGGATAGGGCTTTTTGTGCGAGAGATAGGAAACGTAGGACTAGGGTGTGTGTTCCTGGGGCTGGGATAGGGCATGTAGCCGAGAGGTTAGACAGGGTTTTGTCAGGGGAGGGTACCAATCCAGTAGTGTGTCTTAGTGTGGGAGGAAACGACATAGGTAAGGTTAGGAGTGAGGAACTTTTCAAGAGGAATAGGGAGGCGATGGGGAAGATTAGAGATAGGGGAGGGATCCCGATAGTATGTGGTGTCTTGCCTAGAAGAGGGGTTGGTCGTGAATGGCTGTCCAGGGCAATTGCTATAAATTGCCGACTGGAAAAACATTGTGCAAACAATGGTTGGGCATTCATTGATAACTGGCAACGATTCTATGGCAACGACTACCTGTACTGTCGCGACGGAGTACACTTGTCTCGTGAGGGGGTAAAGACGTTGTCTGCATCCCTGGAGCGTGAAATTGTCACTCCGAAGGGGGGGTTTCGCCAGTAGAGAGGGGTCGGGGAAAGTGGGAGTCAAAAAACAAGCAGGTCCTGGGAAGTAAAATTAGTTGCTCAGGACAAGGGGTAAAACAGGACCAGGGAAGAGTAGGTTTAAATGTATATTATACAAACAGTAGGGGCAGTTCAAAAGATATCGAAGTCTTTAAACTGCTAAGGGAACATATGGGCACGGGGGTGGAGGAGACTGCAGTGGGAGCGGGTAAACAAAGTGAAAGACTACAGGGAAATAGTGTTAGGAATGATGACAAAACTAAATTAGACAGGGAGTTTAAAACTAAACGCGGTAAGGGGAGGACTCAGAACACGACTAACTTAAATGTATACTACACGAACAGTAGAAGTATGAGAAACAAAATGGATGATATTAGGGCCTTGGTATGTACCGAAAAAATCGATATAATTGCATTCACTGAAACATGGATCAACCTAGACA